ATTCTCTGCATGGACGTGCTCGAGTGCTTCCTCCACGCGCTGCGTCTCCACTGGGTCGAGTTCCAAAACAAGTTTTACAAGGCCGACGGCAACAAGTTCCACCCGTTCAACTTCAAGGAGATGATCCGCGCGACGCAGTTTGAAGCGAGCAACTAAGCAGCACGATGTGGAGACGGGCCGCTGACGCCATTAAGTTGGTCACAACGGACCTTGTGAATACACATCCCATCTTTCCCCGATTTCCGTGTGCCTTGTGGATGATCTTTTGGTAGGTTGCAACTTATAGCAAAGGGAACTAATAGCGTCGTGGAAGCAGGGATATGGCGGCGACAGGAGCTTCTGGCAGCAAGGATATGTTCATAGCTACACTGACGTACGTTTCTTGGCTGGCCGAAGGACTTGGTCGTTGAAGCCCACTGAAAGGAACTCAGCAGTGCTCATGCTCACACTATTTATAAATTTGTAAATAGTGTATGGAATACGGCGATGGGAGGTAGGGACCTTCCAAAAGGCAATGCGGCTCGTGCTGCGGTCGCCAATGCTCGTTGCGTTGGTATCAATAATATGCCGTCTTGATTTCTTTTGCAGCCGTCGCACCAACGTGGCCGGGCGCGAACAGAACGAGGCCGTGGGTTTCCTATCAGACACTATTTGCGTGTACGTGGCGTGGAAAGTGCAATTTCAGAACGACCACAAGGTATGGCGGCGCTGAGCTTGGAGGAGAAGGCGTGGTGCGACCAGCGCGAGAAGGACCTGCGCGAGTACAGCGCGCTGGGTGCTGCTGGCGGCGCCATTGTGAGCTCCAGCGTCACGTGTACGCTTTCTGCTTCTGGTGTCAAATCGGATCTCAGTTCTGATCTGTAGTTGTGGGCCGCTTCCCGCGCCCGTACCAGATTGCGACGATCCTCGGGTCTGCTGTCATTGGCAGCATCTCGGGCTACCTCTACGCAGACAACAAGGCGCTCGAGCGCATCAACGATCTCAGTGCGACCTCGGAGCTCCGCAAGCAGTTCCGCAAGCTGTACGCCTCCATCTATCCTCCGTGGCATCCATCTCATGCGTGCGTCGTAGGCAGCACGCCAAGCAGGCAGGCAAAGAGTAAGACATCAATAGACACTGTTGATGCTACCGTCTACCCACGACGTCGGTTTGGACGATAATGGAGGCGCCATCTCTCAGTATGCCTACAACGGGGACACACTCTAGCACACTAAACCTTTCAGCGAAGACGGCAGGGTGGATGCTTGACGAGGCTGCGCGCGTGAGCGAGACCCAGGTGCGCCAACAGGTGTACACGGCCGCTGGCGCTGTCGCGGGCGGCCTTGGTTACTACGGTGTTGCTGGTTGTACGGTGCTCTTGCTTGGCACCAAGGAGAACCGACGCGCTCGTCTAATCGCACGATCGCTGCCCACTGTGGATGGTCTCGGCGCGTATGCCAACTCCCCCGAGCCGCCGCCAGCAACATTGGACCACGCGCCGATGGCTTGCGTCACCCGAGGCAACACGTTTTTGCTAGAGATGACGGCGAGCGCAGTCGGTGTCGGGACGACAGTGGCACGTACTAGTACGCATTACTGTCATGGAAGGATCTAATAGTGTTTTGCGGTTGGCGGTGCCATGCACGGTGTTTGCTTCACGGCGCGCTCGTCGGCGGCGTCGTGGTTCGTGGCGATACCGTTCTATCGGCTGCAGCGTTCATCCCCACGCCCTATGTCTGTGACGCAGCGCGCAACGGGCCGTGCAATGGAGCTAATGACGACGCAATGTATCATGGTGTGGAATAGCAAGTTTATGGGAGGTCCTAACTCTAGTTTTGATGCGACGGTGCTAAACCATGCACATGGCCGCCGCCTCCTTCTCGTTGAATGGGCAGCGCTCCGCGTCGGCCGCGGTCTCGACTTGGATCGAGAGACACTCGAAGCCGTGCAGCGACAGCAGACGCTGCTGGAGTGTCGCCACCACCGACGTCGACGAAGGGCTGACCACATGCACCGTGAGCGCATAGGCACCGGTCGAGACCGACCACACGCGCAGGTCGTGGTAGTCGGTCGCCACCGACTGAATCGTGGCTTCAATACCCGCCAAATCTAATAGGGCAAAAAGTGAGAAAGGCCACCGTAGCCGCGTCGTACCCAGCTCGATGGACGTGCCCTCCATGAGCACGAGAAGGCTCGTCTTGCAAATACCGATGGTCGTCGCGCCGACAATGATCGAGAAGAGCAGCGTCACGATCGGGTCGCAGAGCTGCCACGAGGGATTATACCTACAGCAAAATGAAGTCACGTCGGAGGTTGGAGATTGGAAGTCGGACCAGATGAGGCCACCCGCTATGCACACGCCGAGGCTCTGCAGAAAGTCGCCGAGCGCGTGCAAGTACGCTGCGCGCACGTTGAGGTTTTCGTGGCCGCCGCACGACGCCGCCGTGAGGTGGGTCTCGGGCTCGGGCTCATCGTCGACGTCAATCGCCGTCATCGACTCGCGTGACGTGGACGCGTCATCGCTGTCTTCCTTGGCGTGGTCATGATCATGGTCATGGTCGTGATGGTCATGCGCGACAGCGTCATCGTGGACTTCGTCGTGATCATGATGATCGTGGTCGTGGTCGCAGGCACCGTGGCTGTGTCCGTGGGCCTCTGTCGCAGCCTGGCTCCCGCTGTGGCTGTGGCCATGGGTACTGCTGCCGTGGCTGTGGCCGTGACTGGTGCTGCCGTGGCTGTGGCCGTGGCCGCCGTGGCTGTGGCCATGTCCGAGAATCTTCATGAGCGCAATGTTGACAGCGAGCCCGAGCAGCGCGACGCAAAACATGACCTTGCCGTTGACCTGCGGGATGATCTCACCTGGCAGCGGCGCGCGCGTGAGCAAGATGATGCGCTCAATCGCAGCCCAGACGAGGCCGAGCGTCAGTAGCCAAATGAGGAGGATGCTGCCGAGGGCGCCAAGGACCTCGGCGCGCTTGTAGCCAAACGGCATGACGCGCGTCGCAGGAAACTTGGAGAGGTACAAGGCGAAAAGCGAGAGAAGAAACCCGAGCACGTCGCTGAGGAGGTGCGCGGCGTCCGACATGATGGCGAGGCTGCCCGCGACGTAGCCGCCAGCGAACTCGGCGATCATAAAGACGATGCAAAAGACACACGCCCACTCGAGCTTGCGCTGCGCGAGGTCGCGCTCGAGGTCCTTCTGCGCGGCCTTCATCACGAGCGATGCCGACGGAGACGCAATGGGCACTTGCTCAAACTGGCCCATGGCTGTCGGCGGACGTGATGCAAATTCGCAATATCGACGGGGTCTCTGCCAACACTATTAGAAAGGGCGCCATACAAAGAGCAAGTTGTCGCGAGCAGATGCTGTACCCAACCGCCAAAGTTCGGGTGCGCATCTTGAACTTTACGCCAAAGTGAACTTGCCGAGTCGAGGACGAGAGCATCAGTGTGGTTACGCCACTCTGTCTTGCGGCAGATGGTCGTTTCCGTTGCCACATACAAAGGCCTCATAAGACGATAGCAGTTCTAGACGCAACGGCACTTGACGCTTGCGCGTGTTCGCCGAGGGAAGCAAGCCATCCCTCGCGATTGAACAATAGAACGACGAAATCGAACTTTACGCGACATTCAACTTGGCGCCGTCCACGTGGCGGCCGCGTTACTGCCACCAAGTGCAACCGCGGGGTGGATACAAACTCAGATTGAGATTCGCTCGTCCGTGCACCATCCAACAACAGCGCGATGGCGTCATTGGCTCGACGCCGGTTGCCCTCTTGAAGTTGATGCACTTTTGCCCGTCCAAATGAGAGAAAACATAAACTCCCGTTTCAATGCACTCCTCTCCATCGCACACAGCTGGCTTCGGACGGCTCTTTCTGAGCCCATGCATCCTCTGCCGCGTGCTCGCGTCAAAAGGCACTTGAGGTTTTGGATTTTTAGTTTTCTCGCTTCTTTTTGGCCAATCC